TAAAGAAATTGACATGAATAAGGCTAATACTGAAATTGAAATTTCTGGATCCATTTCCAGAGATTGTAGATTCTGTATTGTACATTTTCCAGGATGTAATAAAATTTGAAGTGTAAAATTGGCTAAAATTTGGACATGATTATCTCCTAGACTATGAAACTTATGGCTCATAATAAAATAAGAAAATAATAGAACTACTAAGTATCCTGAATATAAGAATATAAATATCCTATAAAAATGAACCAGGAATATTGAAATTTTAAAAATTTTTCTGAAATGTTTATTGAAATATTGTAAAAGAGAAAAGAATATGTCCCTTTAACAGCCCTCTTTTCAACACCTCTCCCAAACTGATCTCAAATACCTCTCTCTATCCATTTCTGGCAAATAATTTAAATGTCAGGAACACTAACAACTTCCTTCTTTCTTTCTGCTGAACAGAGTACAAAATGAAGGTGTGAGAAACAGGATAGATGAGTAGGGTCCATACAGTACACATTAAATGAATCATTTTTGTAAGTGTAATTTAGGGAACATGAAAATTTCCATTCTTTCTGTAAAGTGTATTAATTATACTTATATATCTTAGAGTGGAAAAAGTGCTTCTAGGTAAATAGATAATGAATCTTTTTGAGTGGATTGCAATTCAAGGGTCTATAAATCATGAAAGAACCAATCTTGTGTTTAATAATGAAGTCAAGGGCTTCTAGAATCAGTCTCCTTAGACGTCAGCAGATCCCAGAATTTGCGATGGGATCTACACTTCATTCTGAGGAATCTAAAATAGTTGGCCAAACAATCTAACCAATAATTTAGTGATCGATGGGGGAAATCTCTGTATCACGCTTGTATTATTAAATTAAGCAGATATTTTTATAACATTTGGACATACTAGTCTACATCTTCAAGCTTCTATGCTGCTTCTGAATTTTCTTTACAGCTTTGAGATTGTGAATTGAAAATGTATCACTGGCATTGGTTTTTCCCTTTACTCTTTTCATCTTTTCCCAACTTCTGATAAAAAAAAAAAATCAAGTCTCCAACTCTCCCTTCTACAATCTATAGTTTCAGTTCTTGGAATCAAAACATGTTAGAGCTGGAAGGAACCTCAGGAGGACATTTGATTCAACCTTTTCTTTTTCTTTCTTTCTTTCTTTTTTTTTTTTTTTTTGTACAGGTGAGTAAACCAAAGAGAGGACAATTTCAGATTGCCAAGTCAACTCAATTGATGAGTAAAACAACAAAAAAGTGGTGTTACAATTCCATGGAATGGTTCATTTTTAAGAAACTTTATAGTTGCTTTAATTTAGGATTTATAGCACTTGGCTATGTCTCACACTAATGCAAAGTGTTTTTCTTAACATAATGTAGCAATTAGCACCCACATTTTCTCAAAATCTCTTGTATTATACTTTGTGTGTCTGCAAAGATGAATGTGTGAAGTTCTCTTTTTAAATTCTAATATTTGAATATGAATAAATTAAACTCCATATTACGATGTAAGATTTTAAGCAGTTATGAGTCTGAACTTTTCTCCCAAATTTATTCAAAGATTTATATCATACTCTCAAAACACATGTCAAGCTATTTTAAAAATAATGAAATTGAAGGAGCTTTAAAACCCTTCTGCTGAATTCAGAATTCATCCAGAGAAATGGAACTTTTCCATTTTGAAAAAATTCTGGATAATGGTTCAATATGCTGCTTATATTACATAATTATCCACTTGCATTAGCCAAACTACTTCAACAAAGTCCAATCTCCCACTTTACTCTGAGCTGTGGAGACCTGAACTTCAAAATTCTGGTGGCCAGCAATATCCAAAATGAAACTGCTACACACCTGTTATTAGAGTGCATATGGGTAAAAATACTGTTTGACAAGTGAAAATTAAGGACTTACCTTGGGGTAATCAAGTCATCTTCCCATAATAGGAAATACTTCAAATGTATTTACATTTTTAGATTTTGTAGGCTTCAATAATTCAAATTGAGGAGTGTTGTCGTAAACCAATCTACAACATTTTGGAGTTATTTATTTGGAGCTAATTTACACAAATAAGTAGTAGGGAATGGAAGGAGCTGTGATCTCCTTCAGGAGAGCTGAATAGTTTAGTAAACGTGACTGTTAGAAGTTGAAGAGGAATATGACAAAATTCCTTGCAGAATTAACCTAATGGAGTAGAGAGGCTTTCAAAATATGTACTAACATTTGTCTTTTTTACGTTTTAGTCAAGAATTTTTAATTCTAACCTCCTTGAATCTTAACTTTCAATGTAAAGTAATAGACAACAAATTTGAAGATGATAGGCCAATGGAAAGTGACTCCTTTCTCAGCATTAATAATATACATAATTAATATACATAAATTAGTATTTATTGAGAGAATTTGAATTTTATCAGTCAAGATCAAATATAAAGTGAATGGAACAAACAAAATCTATACTATTAAAATCTAAGTGTAAAGGATGGCATGTGAACATTTAAGGAAGGGATCTCCGGATTCCATACCGTCATTTATGCTCCTCTTAATTCTACCTTACATTGCAATACATTGATGTTTTGTGAAAAGCAAATATGTCACATGCAATAGCCGAGTGAATACGATGTAAGGCCATCCAGATCTGACAAATGACAATATTATGGCATTGTGTTAATTATGTAAAGGTCATATTGCTGAGTGCTTTCAAAATTACCTAATGTACAAAATTCTAGACTTGGTAGACAAAGAGTAACAACACATTTTGAATTTAAAGAAACAAATAAAACTCAAGGAGGGATTGTATCTTATTTTGTTCTGTTTTTTGTTAAAAATTCATATTGACTTTGATTTTTAGTAAAGCAAACATTACACAATGTTTCAAAATTTTAAAATTCAGGGATAAAAGTTTACATCCAAAAAGATGAATGGAAATTGTGCTTTCGAACTGTAGAATTAGTTTTCTTACAGGGTTAACCATTTCATCTCACTGTTGGATACAGGAAACTTCATCTATGTAATGTATTTCTGTGCAGTTCATATCCAGGTTCTGCAGAAATCTAAAACTGTGTGCTTCACTTCATGTAGCAAAGGCACCTATGTTAATTCTCCCTCTTGAGCAAAAGTTATGATCCAGTCTTCCTGCTGAAGGTGACCTTTCCATTGCTGGGTCACTCACACAGTAGATGTTAGCAGTTCAGTAAAACCTAAGAGAAGGTGGAGGCAAATTCCTGCTTGTACTGGAACAAAGTTGCTCTGTGGACCGTTTGAAGAAATTGGACTGATCACAAGGGAAACTGAGCAGAACTGTGAAGCAGACGAACAGGAACAAAAGGCTTTTCTGGTGTGAGGAGAAATCAGTCACTTCAGCTCCACAAGCAGATGGTGCTACTGGACTGACAAGTGGAGCCCACTCCCGCCGGAGAAAGGTAGAGTTTGCCACTGGGGCACACGCAGAGTTCGTACACTGTCTGTCGAGAATTCGAGGAGCTTGATGAAGAAGACGAAAAGGAGCCGGTGGGTAGATTTCCCAGCCGGATTGTATCTGCATTTAGAAATATCTAGGGGGGAAAAGAAATTGCATTTTAATTCATTTCAGCATTCTGCATCCCTCAGAGCTTTGCAACATGATCTGGTAAGAGACACTACGCTAAAAACAATTCTATTGGTTTAACTTCCATGCTTTGTTGAACAAACAAATTATATTCCTATGTTATAGTTCAGAAATGGTACAGCTGTCTTTTCCTTTGAGAGCTAGCGTGTTCTGACAGAAAGCGCTCAATCTGAAAAGTAATATTATACAATCTGCTTAAGGGGCCAACCCAGTTATTCAGATACTGCAGAAAATTAATGATAGTCTCTCAATTTAAATTCTTAAGCATGTCTAAAGCATGTACAAAGATATGAAAATGTCAGTGACGGTGACATTTCTGAAGAGTTAAGCAATTAATCAAAAAATACTTTTGCCCTGTGTTTTAAAAACTCAGAAAAACACGTTGACTCATAGTCTTGAGGTTACATTAAGAAGCTGATCAGTATAATTCATAACAGATAATCCTCGCATATAATCAGAGTTTTAAATGTATTACCTGTATTCAGTAGTGACTTTGCTAAATCTTTTAAAGTGGGAAATCACTGATCATGGACTCCTTGCTTTCAGAGATAATGATCATATGTTTTGTGACATGCTTGGGGAAATTGCCAAAAGAAAAACTGGATCACGAACTTGAATGAGCAAAGAAAACAAATTTGCCCGCCTATTTCTTAATTTTATTAAGAAATAAGGTTGATGTCTGCCTAAAGGCTAGGGGAGGGGCTGCCTTTGGTACAGGGCCACAGAACAGTGCATAGAATTATGACAGTGTTTGCTGTGTGACGGAAGGCTCTTCTTTCCCCTTGGAAATGTCTCTCTTATGTGGGGTTCGAATACAATCACCATCAAAACCACGTTCATCTGCTTTCTCTTTTAAGAATCTTCCCTAATGTTCCAAGAGAGAGGGACTCTTCTTATTTCGCTCTCCTATAACAATTAAATATTGTTTTCCATCATGTTGTCAATCTCTGGATGTTATTTTATAATAAAATGTATATCTTATTCTCTCTACTAAATGGCACCTTTCTTATAGAAAGAAAAATATGCTGAATTCTTTGGTAACTTTACAAGTTGTGTGATCCTCTGTACATACTTTTATATAACACAAATAATTGTTCAATAAATGAACAAATTATGAAATATCCGAGTAAGTCATACCAAGTTTATTCTAAGTGAAGAAGGCATGATTCAAAATTTCTTTGTAGGTATCCAGTATCAATATATATTATTGCACAGTACCTCCTTGTTCAAGGAGTGGAAAATCAAAGGCATTGAAATTATTTCTGCTCTAAGTTTTAATGAAAACGTTTTTTTAATATGAAAGAGAAGTGCACAAAATTGAGCAAATGCTATGCACTTTCTTGGATAGAATGCTGGGCCTCATTTCTTCTGGCTCCATGTTTCCTTGCGGGGGGAATACGATGACTGAAGCACCGTTGCTACGCTACGGCTTCTTTCTCCACAGAAGAGGAACGATGGCTGCCATGACGCATTGACTTGGAAAAGGTGGGCTTTCTGTGAGCGCTTTGCCACACTTCTGATTTTTTTTTATGCTTGGAAAGAGAAAATATTTTTCATCTTCAAAAAGCTTTAAAGGGTAAACTTCCCGTCTGTATGATTTTGGTCTGAAAATTTGGAAGTGAGTTTTAAGAAATTTAAAGAGCAGCGAGTGAGCCCAAAAATCCTTAAGATATAGATAAGAGGAGGAATATAGAAAGCTAAAGAATAGAAAGGAGAGGGCCGGGATTTAGCTCAGTGTCACTGTGCCTGCCTCGCAAGCGCCATGTCCTGAGTTTTATCCATGGTATCAAAAAAAAAAAAAAAAAAAAAAAAAAAAAAAAAAGAAAAAAAAAGAAAGAAAGAAAGAAAAGTCAAGGAAACTCAAGTGGGATTGATAAAAGTATTGCAAGATTTTGTGGCTGGTGCATTCTTTATTAAGCATTCACAATAAGTGTTGCCAGTTAGTGCTGGTGGTTTGCTAAGGGGCTCACATTATGACACAGGTATGGCGAAAGCTGGCTGTCTTTCAGCTGCTGTAGTCTGGGAGAATAAACTGCAGAGTTGTGCTTTTTATACGAGCAAGGCTGGCTGGTGGCAGCCTCAGAAAGAAACAAACTGTGGAGGCCTCAACCGTGAGTAAGCTTTAGAGGACTTGGCCTGATGTATGCAGCCACAGTAGCCGTCTCCAGCTCTCCCATCCAGTTAGGGGCCGCTTTGTGCAGTGTCCAACTCCTTGACTGTACTCCACTCCATGCATACTCTTCTGAGAGCTACACTGTACTTTCACCTATGTAAAGCACATAAGTTTTACTAATCAATAAACTCATCACGGGACTGCTTGAAAGAGAAAATGTGATTTTTCTGGAATTGAGGTAGGAAAATAAATTATGAGGTAAGAAGGGCTGTTATCTATTGATTTCTTCCGACACAGCGTTTCTGAGCGTCTCATTTACAACAGTATGGACTAGCTTGACTACCTCTTCTTCTGCTAAGGTAAGTTACAATAATTTTGCTTAATTTCCAATTTCTAAAATTAATAGGTCTATTTATACTATACTCTAAACCATATAATCCATTTGTTCAAAAACTCTTTCCTAGGGTAAGATTTTAAGTCACAGATGAACATCTTAATTCTATTCAGAATTAATTTTCCCATTTTGATATGTCGAAATCAGATCTATTACACTCACGGAATTCTTCATTAATTACCAAAGTAAAAATTCTACTTTGGTGATCTTGTTTCCTATGTTATTGTGTTACTGTGCCATTTATACTATTAAAACACCAACAATTTAACTATGTAAAATTATGACGCCTGTTGCCTCTAGGACTGAACTTGTAATTTGTTGCAGAATTATGTCTGAAAATGACTGTGAATATTCTTTGGTAAAGACTTTTACACACAATTTTCAACTACATTTAATGCATTATTGGCTATTTCAATGTAATGTTTGCTCTGATCCTAAGTAACTTAAAACACAAGAGTAGCTATATTTTATTTTTCTACATTGTAAATAATCAATTTGTCTTTCTGTGATGGAGTCAGTGTAGGATTAAAAGAGAAATATTTTATATAATTTCACACTGCTTCATAGTAGAATTATATGCTTTTTAATTATAATAAAAATGTTATATCTTTCAGTTTTATTTTAATATAAAAATATACCAGAGATTAAAAATTCTGGCTATGATTTATTTATAACATGATACTCATTTGACAATTAAAGGCTAATCTGTCTATGAATACAATGATTATTTTGATACATTGCATAAAAGTATGTAAGTACATGGCTCAGATAAGAGCAGAACAAAGATTAATACTACTGATACTTACTACGGAATATTGATTTTGAATAATATGAATTTAATGATTAACATGTTAAAAAATCTTTTCAAAAGATGCAAGATGTTCAAGAAAGATTTCTATCTTCCTGTTGTGGAAAAAATTTTGTAGTTTGCAATTGTAGTGGAAAAAAATCCTGAAAAAATATACAGATACATTTTTAAAGTATTGTTAAGCATATTTCTTATTATTTATATTGTATTACACACTAAGTTACTAATATGATAATACCAGTAACTACATTTATACAAAGGAAGAAAAACATACAATTAAAATTTGTCTTGAATCAACAATTAAGATAATGGCAGAAGGCAAGTTTCTACTAATTAATCATTACATGGTTATATCTTAGAGGTGTGAAATGCCCCACAGCATCTCTTTTCAATTGTCTTTCCATTCTATTTCTTCTCAACTGGCCTTTATGAGCTTGAAATAAAAAAAAAGTAAAAACACAGAGCAAGGAAATATGAAGAAAATAACATAATAACAGTTGTATATTATCCATACATTATTTTGTAATAGAGAAAATTTACATTAAATGAGTTCCATATAAGAGTATAGCTGGGCGTGGTGGCTCACGCCTTTAATCCCAGCACTCAGGAGGCTGAGGCAGGAGGAACGCTGTGAGTTCAAAACCAGCCTGGGTTGCATAGTGAGTTCCAGGTCAGTCTCAACTACATAGTGAGACCCTGTCTCAAAAAACAAAGAAGATGTGGTTTTTCTATAAAATGGAATATTACTCAGCCATAAAGAGCGAGAGAATAGATTCATTCATAGGAAAATGGATACATATTGAAGATATACTCCTAAGTGAAATAAATAAGTCCCACATGTGTAAATACCAAATAGTTTCCCTGGTGTGAATATTCTGCAACAATGCATAAGATTCTAATAAGATTACTGACATTTAGAAATGGGAGGAAAGGAGCTAAAGGTGTAGGGAAGGTGTGATACGTAGGGGAAGAACAAAAAGGGAAAAGAAAAAAATGTGAGAGAATGAAAAGATGAAAATAAAGTGTT